TAAAAGCCTTTCAATAATTTTTGTTGCTCTTCCTAATTGCCTATCACTTATTGTGGCATTCCAATTTCTTTCTTTGGTATCTTTCATAAGAACCCTTTTTGAAGCAAAAATCCATAAGTTTTTTTTTTTTTTTTTTTTTTTTTTTTTTAATTTGATTAAGTTTTTTTATTGACCGATTTTCTTGTTTAATCAAGGTATTCAAATAAAGACCAATTTCTAATAATTCTCCTTCATAAAGCTCTTCAAAAAACATCTTATCTTTCTTATTAAGATTTGATACTAAATAGAATTTTGTTCCAACATCATCAATATCTTCAACCATCTCGTCTTCTCTTTCATATCTTGCTCAAGATAATATGTCAACTACCAAATTATCTTTTTCAGCAACATGCTTAAATTTTGGATTTAATGACTTAATATAAGCAATCTATCTTAGCATTAAAATATCCAGTGTTGAACAATTAGTAATTATTCCAAGTAATGGCAAACAATATGTTTCAATTACTACTACAGTACCAATAAAATAATCCTTTTCAACTTTCATAGCTGAAACAACTCCCCATAGTTCTCTCTTAACTTGTGAATATGCACGTTGATGAGTACTTAAAACTTTAGCTCTAAATCAAATTGCAAATTTGTTTCCACTTGAATCATCTTATTCACAATCCATCTAATAGCAATGGGACTCATATCCACAGTAAGTATTATTTACCTATTACTCTCATAATCAATTCTTCTTAATATTGGAGATGTCAATAATAACACCTTTAGCTTTTGCATTGCTTCAATATGTTTTATTTTTCATTTAAATCGACAACCTTTACATAATAATTCATACAATGAATTTGCTATATGAAGACATTGAGGAATCCAAATATGATAAAATACAAAAACTCCTAAAAATCTACATACTTTTGTTAAAGAATCATAGATATCTTTCATCCTTGCAATTGCATCAACTTTACTCGGATCTGGTTTTCTCCCATAAAATCCACACAAGTGTCCAACAATAATAACTTCTTATACTCCAAATATAGATTTTACTCTCGATAGTATAAGATGAAATTCTTCAAGTTGAGTTAAAATCTTCCTACAATCTTAAAAATGATCAACAACATATTTATGACATCCTTTTTTATCTAAAGTCTCATGCTTTTTTTCTTCTTTACATCCTTTGATAAGAACATCATTTAAAAAAGACATAGTTTTTTCAAGAATGAAGTCCTTCAATACCTTGTTCATACCATTCATCATATGTACAATTAAATTAGTAGTACCTTATAGAAGAGTACACATTTTAAGTGGTCCAAGTGGTATTCTCATAGTTGTTAAATCTCTACTTCCATGTGTAAGTTGAAATTGATCATAACCTAAATATAAATTATTCATTGAATAAATTGCCTTTCCTGCAAACACTTTTGTAAACTCATCTACTAAAGGTCTTATACCTATATTTTTAATAGTTATTATATTTACTGGCTATATATCTTAAATAAAGCATAATGACACGTTTTTCTTAGGCACTATAAATCAATGACTAGAATATAGAGCAAAAAAAGGCTCCAAAATCTTCATTTGTATTTTTCCTTCAATAATTCGACCAATTTAGGTAAATGTGCCCTTGGTATAAGAATTGGGCTTAAGTTCCAAGGCACATGCGGTATTGTGAAGATAACCATAGGACCAACAATATTAGGATCTACACATTCTATTTCATGAGGTCTAAAAGTAAATGATTTACTTCGTTTTTTAAGCATTTTTTTAAAATATTCAATCTCTGTTGGTAATAAAGAACCATCACATCTAATCTTTAATTCTTCAAAAGTCTCCTTTGTAAATTGATGTCCAATATTCTTTGGATCTCTTAAACTTTTTTTCTTTGATGCTTTTTTTATTTGTTCTATAAAAACTTCTAATAAAGGTTCGGCAATAAATTTTACTTTCTTATCTATTATTTTATATTTTATTTCTATAATAACTTTTGATACTTGAAAAGATTTAAGAATAGTATAAATCTCTCTTGAATATATTTCTGCAATCTTGTCATCATCTCCTAATCTAATAGATGTAATTAACTCCAAAGGATCTTCTAATCCATTTTCTTCATAAATCCCTAAAATCTTTTCATCATCTTCTAAAGTTCTTAATCTATATAATTTTGTTTCAATATTATATATTCTTTTTGTTTTGTTTTATTTTAAATCTTCAACTTTTTTTTTATATATAATACTTCTATTTTTAAAAATACTAATAAAACTTGAATTAAAGGCACCTACATCTTGCAAGAGTACTTCTTCTTTTGTACCTCCATAATTCCACTTTATAGTGGTACTTCTCTAAAATCCTTAAATTCTTCAATAATTCTTGGTAATGGCTTCTCCATCAACCTATCTCAATTTCATTCATAATTAAGAGGCACGATTAGAAATTATATCGCTTTCCTTCCATTTTCACTCCATATTAAATATCATCAAGAACTTTTCTTTCTATCCATATTGCTATAATATAAGATTGTCCTAAAATCAATGGATATGATGTTATATCTTGAATAAAAAAATGTTGTTCTATTGCAACATCTCTAATTCAAATTTTAACATCCAAGTAAGCTCTATATAATTTATCTTGTGTATTATTAGCCACTCGTATTACCCATCCATGTTCCATATCAATTGGCCACCTCCACTTTTTATAAAGATCTTTAGACATAAGATTTATTTTGGAACCATTTTCAACTAAAACAACGATCAGTTCTTTTATATCACATATCTTCATCAATACTTTTGTAGCTATCTTTGTCCAATGCTTTCAAGTATAATAGCTTAAAGCTTCCATTTCCTTATCACTATACTCCTCAAAACACACTTATTGATTATAACCATTTTTTCATTTATTAATTACTTGTAACCTTTATCACTTTTTTCTTCAACTTTACATAATTTTGCATCAATAGTATGACTCATCCGAGCTTTGCCCATTAATTGTATCTTCCTTTTAATACAGTCAATGATAACATCATAAAACTCTTTCTTTGTAATTTTCAAAATCTCTTACAATGGAAATTCGACCTTGGCATTAAATACATGTTCTTCCAACACTCCCTTTAAATCTATTGCTCCTTTAATATCAGAAAGTAACTTATAAGCTATTGATTTATTTTTATGTTTTATCTCCTTTTTTTTATTTACCAATGTTGTTGAAGTATCCTTTATAGGTAATTCTTATGAAGCTACCTCACGAACCTTGTCTCATCAAGTTTGTCTCTTAGAAGAATTTTCTTCTCTTCTATTATTAAAATTTCCTCATCTATTTTCTTCCATCAAAGCTTCATGTTGACTTTTAGCAATATATGCATGAACTAAAAGAGCTTCTACAAGATTTACCTAACTTGTTGCACTTCATATTATAGGTGCAATTCTTAAAAATACTTTTTGAGGCTTTTTTCTTTTTTGCATCATAGAAATGGCAAAAGTCCAAAACCCACTTGTCTCTATACTTCCATCAAAGTCATCATCTATCCTAGCACCATAACTTGTACTGTCTTATGTTGTCACTCTATATTTTACTAAATAGTCTTGAATCAATGCTCTCATACATCTCTTGCCAAAATTGGTTTGAAAGAGATCTTTTGTATCCTTTAATGCTATCTTTCTATCTTTCCAATAAATAATCCTATGCTACACCATATCATTAAATTCATTCCAATCCTTCCTAGTATGAGAAGCATTATGATACCAAATGCATCTTTGTATACACCCTTGCTTAGAAATACTCTTCAAATTATTTGTAGAAGTTTTTTCTTTAAGTCTTGCCAATTTGATTTGAAGATCCCCAATTCCACATATAATTTCTTCAATTCCGATATCTTCTTTCTTTGATAAAGATGTTGGAGGTTGAATATTAGGCATTTTTGGTCGTGTGGTATATACTTGAATTTTAGGTGCTTGTACTACTCTTGAAATATTAATTCTATTCTTCCTCTTTTCTCGTTTTGCAAGCAATCCTTAGCATCTTCAATATTTTTTCACTTTAATGTCAACTCTTTATCTTCTTCTTTATCTTTAAGAAGCAACTCTAATTTTTCTTGTAATTCTCTATTAGAAGCTTGAAGAAATAATTCAACCTTGTTTGGCTCCAATGTCTATTTTTCCATCTTTGACAATTCAAAATACTGCCTCTCAAATTCTCTTAATAACTCCATTGCTTGTAAATTCTTGCTAGGCCGCTCAATCCATTATAGAAATAATTTCTTAGTAACACAATCAGTGTCTTTTAAGAAATATTTGTCTTTTAATGCATGTGAAAAAGTCTTCCATGAATTTCCATAATACTTCATAATTAATTAAACATATTACAAATGTACAAGTACATTAAATTAATGCTATAAATTACTTGTACATTTGTTAAAACATTTTGATTCACATATTATCTTGTAAAGCACTCAAGATTTTTCCATCAATATCTATTTAATGTCACGTATTAAAGATTTACTTCAACAAATAAAACTACACCTAATAACTATTTTTTCTAAATAAAGGTAATACTTTAATATCACAATAATATAATAGAACTTTATAATGTGTTCAAAGCTTCTTGGTCCATTGTTTGTAAATTTAAAAATAGAAATTAACATGCATACTATTAATTTACAAAACTCTACAAAATATAAAAAGAATATATTATAATAAAATCCAGTTTAAGTTTTTTTGATGAATACTTTGATTTAATACTGAAATAATGCACGTAATAAAATTCCATTAATTTACTGCTACTACCAATACTCACATACATCACACACGTTCGTCCTATAATTACAAAGCTGAGTTGCATGACCTGAAACCCAATTTTACAGTTCTCTAAACAAAAGAAATAAGCAACTGATCAACGTCTATATTTCATGAGCTACCCCCCAACAGAAATTTTATAACTTATAAATTCATGCAACAAAACATTATCAACTATTATTGCCATACTTGACCTTGAAACCATAACAATCCTTGACATGATCTAATACCAAAACAGTTCTGGAGCTTCAAAAATACACCATCGACACACACACAAGTTTGAACATGCACATAAAATGCAGTGAAAATGATCGTTTGTTACAATTACTATCTCAGAAGCTGACCAACTAAACCACGCTCAGACTAAATCTCAGTCCATGCCTTCACCCTCAAATATGAAATTTCTGTGCAGATTATCGAAAATCGTGATTGTAAACTATAAAAGTGCTGCTCATCAGTCCCAGAGCAGCAGAACAAGAGTGAAGATTCTGTGTAGATTAAGGTTGAAATGAGAAAATAAACGATGAAAATGCTGCTCATAAGTCACAGAGCTGCAGAACGTGGCTGGCAGTCGGGGTCTGAAGAGGGACTCCGGAGACACATATCGATGCGGGGTGGATTGTGTGATAGGGTGCGAGGTGGGGGATCAGGAATGGCAACGATCTTGCATTTCGGACATGATGAGAGGCGTGAACTGGATGCTGCGCTGATCCACGGGGAGCTGGCCGCTGTTGCTGAGCTCGTCGCACTCTTCTCGCAGGATTTGAAGGATGTGAGTCTCCTCGTCCACGCACAGGACCACCGACTCGGTCCGCTCCAGCTTGAGCGTCATGCCGTAGAAGAGGCGCATCACAAACTTGTCCAGTGGGTCCTCATATTCGTCTCCCCAGCACTGCTTCTTCCGGTGCTTCAGTTCCGAGTTCGCCAGCGCCGACGCTCGCCATATGTAGGCGCCGAATCGCTCCTTCGACTTGCGCTTGTGGGCTGTTGAGAGCCATTCCTCCAGCTTGGTTTGCCTGTTGATGATGAAGACAATGCAAATTCATTATGATTGAGTCTGTTCTGGGGAAGCTGTAAATACAAGCGTCATGCAGGCTTGATGTTGCCCACCTGAAAAGTGGAGCACGGAGAGTTTGTGAAAAAGGGTCGTGGTGTCAATTGCACGAACCTGAAGTTTTGACGTTCATCCTGCGGTACTTGTCGCAACAGAGGGTGGTGATCCCAGTCCAGTGGGTCAGCACAAGTCTCCCCGCTGTGGAAGCTCCGCCGATCCCACCACGACATACCAGGGCGCACGTACCCCTTCGACTGGGGTCCGTAATCGCCGTTGCGGTGGGCCTCGTGAAATCCATGATCGCCTTCAAATTGCCCACCGCACGCGTACTCACTTGCTTCCTTCGCGTCTCCGCCGTTTTCGCCACTCCCCTGGGAACTACCGAAGTCCTTGACGCTGCTGTGCAGGCTTCCTGATTGATTGCCGGAAAACCTCGTACTCCCCTGATTGTCACCACCATGGTCACTGACACCGGCGGCATAATATTTGCTGGCGAAGTCCCTCTCGCTGCTGCGCTGGCTGTGCGGATTGCTACAAGGAAGACTCCTGTAGCTCCTCAAGCCACGATCAATATCCCCCCGACCAGGCTGGTCGCAGTAATCTCTGGCCTCGCTCGGCGGCGAGGCGTACCCATCCCCGCCGCCGCCGATCGCATCCATGAAATTCTTCCCGCAGTCGTTCTCGCTGCCGGCACACGAGTGCGTACGATAAGATCGCGTGGGCGAGGGGTGGTCCACCCAAGTCGAGCTCGACATGGTGGCTGCGCGCGTCACCAACAACCCAGGAAGCGCTCGCAACAGCGTCGATGATCGACCAGCTTGGTCACCGAGGACCTACAATGAATTACCGCAGCCTCCTTTCTCGTCACAGCCTTGCGACGACACAGCGCGCGCAATCCAGAATCCTTGCCCAGCAACTGGCGCCAAGTAACGGGCCCCGGCGTGGCTCCAAGGCGGCGGTTAATTCTAACCGCCGACTCGTGACGATGCCCATACCGACAGTCACACACACATACATTGATTCTTTGTTGGGACCCAGTTATTGTAGAAACACGATAATATTTATTATTTTGGAGGAAAAACTGCGAAAAGTGTTCGTAATTTGTAAATTTTTTGAATTGTGGTAATGGGAAGAGAAAACCGTTAAGAGAATGCGAAGCTCGAAGGTTAACCGAGTTTAATGAAATCTTTTTTGTTTTATTGAAAAGAAATTTAGTAAAGAGAAATGTGGGGGGAAGTGATTGGTCTGAACCATTTTGGTATTGCTTGTAGAGGTCGAAGTATGGTTGTTTTTAAGTTTTTGATTTAAGTGAGAATGTATGATTTATTGAAATTTTTTATCATTGGATTGTGACGTGATCTTTATCCACTTCTAAGTTGGAAAACTGATATATTTTTAATATAGACTAAATTGAGAATGCCAAAATTATAATTAAACGTATTTTCACATTTTATAAATCTATAAATTTATTTTTATTTCTTAAATTCAAATAACAGTGATTTATTTTTTTAGAAAATGTCATGACTTGATGTATCAATGGTTTGTGAACTTTTATGTGAGTATTGTACAAACCAATTTTAATTTATATCATAAAAGATCTTACAAAAAGTTAGAACCGTTTTCATGTGCCATTAACATCTAAAAAATGTAAAAAATGTAAAAGTTAAGGAATATATGTTTTATTCAACAAATACATTTAAAATTCAAAACATAAGAACACATGTATGTATATATGTATATATATGAATTGAACACAATTACATAATGATAATAAACAAAAATAAACTAAAAAAAATTCACTATTATTTTTCTTTTCAAATAAACTCAATTGAGATCTTTAATTATTGTCAACATAACCAAATTGAGTCATTCTTTTCCAAAACTTAAATCAATTGTCTCTACACTCGCACACGTCAAAACCAAAAACAACAGGCATTAAACAAAACTCTCTACAGCTAAATCTTCCCAAAACACACAACATGAATCAACTTGCATGTGCATGAACACACGATACCACAACCTTGAGTCACATAATCTTGCACATACAGTAGAAGAAAAAAAGAAAAAATGAAAATACATTTCGAGTCTTACTGTTCCGATCACTCTGCAAATCACCTCAGTAACCGCACACCATCGTCGGTGAAAACTGCGCATCGTCGGCAACGAGAAAATTTGAAAATTGTGGGGGTCCTCGTGTGCTCCGCTGGCGATTGCGTCGTCACCCGATGACGACCCTGGTGTCGTTGATCCACGCGTACTTGGGCACTTCCAGGTTGCGCGGCGCGGGGCCCTTGCGGATGCGGCCCGAGATGTCGTAATGGGAGCCGTGGCAGGGGCAGAACCATCCGCCGTAGTCTCCCGCGCCCGGAAGCGGCACGCACCCCAAGTGGGTGCACACGCCGACCACGATTAGGTACGTCGGATTCGTCGCCCGGGCCTCGTCGGTCTCCGGATCCCGCAGTTCCGACAGGCTCACCGAATTCGCGAGCTTAATGTCCGCCTCAGTTCTGTTGCGCACAAACACCGGCTTCCCCCGCCACTTCACCGTCACCGTGTTTCCTGCTGCGATGCTACTCACGTCCATCTCCAGAGACGCCATCGCTAGCACGTCTTTGCTCGCCGACATGGACAGGATTACTTTGCATGCGAACAGCCGCAGGCCCGCCGCGAGCATGCAGCGCCCTATCGTGAGAATGAAGTAGGAGAAGGCCCTCTTGCTTGGATCGCCCTGCGGGTGACGGTCCATGCATGACTCGTCGTACGTGATCTGGTTGGTTGGGTTCTTCAGTGCCGCGACTGTGGCCGGCAGATCTCTCGACGGGGATATGTCGTGGCTTAGACCTGCAGTCCCTCCCTCCGAGGCGGCCATTCGGTTAAAACTTGCCCCCACACTTCAATCCCCGCAGGACAGATGAACAATACCGTCGTCGCCATCGTCTTCATCAGAGGTGACATGCAGCTGATGTATGAATCCAGTCTTACTCTTTGCTATCGGATTGTATAGCAAGTTCGTCACTGGGAAATTGAACTCTAACATGCCTTCCTACGCATTGATCACCTTGAGAGTGTTTTCTGAAGCGTTGAGGAGTTCTTTAGTCTCTGGGTGTAAATTTAGAGAGGCTGTGATGGACGCTGGCTTATCAACTGGAAGTTATCAAATAAGTGAAGGATAACTCATTACCGCGAGTGAAGATAACTTGCCCAGTGTTCGGCTTGAACCAAAGCTCCAGATGAAGCCTTGTCTCGGGTCTGCCCTTTGCGATCCAATCATGGCGCTCAACACTTGTGTGGAGTCGAGGAGAGGCAAATTCAGCCGGCAATCGTTTCAACTCTACAGTTAAAATGGAATCAGAGGAGAGAGGTCGCAGGAGCGGAAGCATCCGCCTGTTAAGTGTTCTCAACATCATGAGCACAAGGCACTCAGTATTGCTGCCGCCTCAATCAAGGATACAGGAAATTCGAAACACGATCGGGAATCTGCTCGTGCAACTGACGCCCAACATTGCTCGATCGGTAATATTCACACGCTCAGCGTTTCAGCTCTTCCATGACGGTTGCGGTGGTGGTTCAAACGGCTTTCTTGACAAGGGGCTACCTTTCGACTGTCTACCATGAACAATGGTCTTACTGGGACTCCAAATCGACTCAAAACCTCATCGATTCCCTGTTTGTGTACAGTTTCAATTTGCTCTCAAAGCGACTGCGTTTTGCCTCATAATCCCGCGGTGTTCGTGTAGAAAACAGATCGCGAAGACTGCAAAACAGAGCTTTAGTCCACAAGAATTCAGATCCTTCTTCCGTGAAGTGCATCAGCAGGCTCGAGATTCGCAGCAAGTAGGAATCTTTTTACGACGGAACGGATCTGACCAGTAAAATGAGATTGTCAGTTGGGAAACCAACAACACGTCGCTCCTCGCAGCGATCATCTTTCAATATCGAGTACCGCTACCGACTTTACTCAGCACGTCGTTTCCGATGAATAAGGGAACCGTTCACCGGTTCGCGGAACCCCAGGTATTAACGGGGCCTCAATCGAGCTGGCTCTCGGTTAGTTCATTCATCGAGGGTTTCATTCATCCAGGTCGAGAACTGTCCGCTATTCTTCCAATTGGAAAAAGCCACCAAAAATGTTTTGTTTCGTTTTACTGTTGTATTTCAAGCATTGGGGTCTTACCTTATCTAACGATACAGTGTTCAAATAATTACTTTCTTTCAGAAGAGTTTTTTTAGGTTTGCATTTTTTGTATTAATAAATAATTTATATATTTAAAGGAGACTTTATACTTAGAGGACAAGGTGAGTAGAAGAAGAAGAGTAATAAATAAATAAATAAATAAATTGATTGGTTGAAATTGGGAAGTCTTACTAAGTTTTTATATTTTTAAAAAAATAGTCTAAAAATTTGACCTGATTCGATACAAATACTGTGCATGTGTGTGCTGATGTTTGCATTTTTCATTTTCTAGTCAAGGTAAAAAGAAATAGCCCAAAAAATGTTAAAACCTACAAAAAGCTCTAAAAGATTTTAAAGAAATTGGGATGTTGAGCAGGTAAACGGTCAAAAATAGTTAAAGATATATTTCTAAAAAATATAATAAAGGTTAAAGAATATAGTATCTACCAGAACTTATAGATTATATATATATATATATATATATATATATATCATTTTTCTTTGTTAATTCTCTGCATATATATTATATATAACTGACATAATTTCAACCAACAATGTCCTTCAAAATTGAAAATAAACTAACATATTCCAGTAATATCATATATATGAAGGACATTCCATGATAAGAAAATCAAACATAAAAAAAATAATAATATTGATTGTGATTGTAATAAAATATTTCTGTAACATGTGTGCAATTTGTATATGATGCGAAATTCTTAATCTTTAAAAAAAAAAAGTAATTTTGACCGTAAGTTATTTTTTTCACTGCTTTCTACATTTGAGAATTTGGTATAATTGCAGTGACTTCAACTATTTAATTGATTTTTTACATTCTTTATTTTTCTTTCCAATTATTTGATTTGTGCTGAGGAAAAAAAAAAAAAAAAAAAAAAAAAAAACACACTCACACACACACACATGTAACAATGCATATAAATCTGAGCTGCATCATTGCTTACCAAAGTAGTTTTTGTTTGACAAAGAACAATCTTAAATATGTTAATGAAATATTCAGTTTTACAAGATTATATATATATATATATATATATATATAGAGAGAGAGAGAGAGAGAGAGAGATACACGAATAATCAAATAATTGATCAAACTCTAGTTTCCAAAAGCTAAGTAACAAAAGAATTTTTAAAATCTGGTTTGTAGTGGTTGTAAATTAAATATGATTTCAATGTAATTATGCTCTTTTTATTGTTTCCTTATCCGTTTTGACCTTGAACCTAAACACTACTTCTAATGTAAGAATTTTCAAAATCATTACTTTATAGGTTCTTTTTTAGAAACATGTAATTTATTTTTAACTTGTAGAACTTATCTTAGTATTACAATTTTATTGGTAACATGAAATAATAAACCTTCTGGCAGCTTGTAATGAACTTTCTTATCTGGTTTAAGATTGCAGAAGGAAAATATTTTTTTTCCTTGAAAATATAGAAAATCCTGCTTGAAACATACTAAAAAAAGTTTAATTTTATGATTAATACAAGGTCCATTACAAACACAAAGAAGTTAAATTTTATAGAAAATAAGAAATCTATCTTTTATTGTATTGATAATGCAATATTTAAGATGTATATATATATATATATATATATATATATATATGTATTAATGAAAAAAGTTAGAATGTTAAATATATATATATATATATATATATATATACCATTTTCTATGTACATATACGTTCTTCTAATTCGTATATTTAAAAAAACAAGAAGGTTTACCTTGTCATGTCTATATTTACAATACAAATACTGGTTTGAATCCATACATAACAGTGGGCTCTTTGATACATTTCTTCCATGTACTTTTTCATCACATGTTTTATAATTGCAACTGTTCTACAAAAAACAGTATGAATGGATACATGAAATGCACGGTTACATTACAATTCATTTAATATTGAAGAATGTTTTTCGTGCTAATTTATTCAAACTTCTCCATTTTATTAATTCATTTTGGTCGAATTACATATGATGTCTTCAACGCCTTATAACTTTTTCATAAAAACTCCAAATATAAAAATTCTATTATATAAGATTTAGATCTTAAAATTTCTCTTGTAACTACACCTTTCAATTTTCAAAAGTTATTGTACAACTTTTTGTATCCTCAAAAGAGCAACAATATATTTTAAAAGATACCTTAACTTCAAACGGCTATAACTTCTTCACCTTAACTCCAAATCCTCTAAATGTCTTACACAAATTCTAATCTAAATCCTAAACCTTACAATTCTTCTTTATTATTTTCAAATGTTTCTTTAAAATTACCAAAATCCTTTTTATGGTCACAAATAGTGTACTAAAAACCTATTGGACATGGCTTTTGATCAACAGAGATGAAGACCTTCACCTCTTGCCTTTATCCATCTATATCTTGCTTTTACTCCTCAAACTAAGCTTCTTAGTAGTTTGGATCTTCAACCTTGAGCTCTTATCTTTTCTAAAAACTTTATATTAAATATCTAAATATAATATAATTCAAATGTTATAATCAAAATAGGTAAACTTTAAAATAAATTTTCTTACATCAACTCTCTTTAAATTAACCTACTAACTATTCTAATATACATCAAGACTTATAAAAATATTATATTTTTTTTAATTAATTTTTACATACTATAAACAATTGCAATACAACAACGTCTTTCAAGATAAAAAAAATATACTAATATATCATATTTAACAAAGTACAATCTTAAATTTTTTGATAAAATATTCAATAATGTGAAATTTGTTTATTTATTTATTTATTTATTTATATATATATATATATATATATATATATATTCTTATATATTGAAAGAAAAAGATATACACACTCAAAAATCAACTAATTGGTCAAACTCTAGTTTTCAAAAGTTAAGTAATAATAGAATTTTAAATTTTAGTTTGTATTAGTTATAAATTAAATTTGATTCTAATTTAACTATAAACCATTTTTTTTGTTATTCTATCTCTTTTGAACTTGAACTTAAATAGTAATTGTAGAATAAGATTTTTTAAATTATTATTTAATTATATTTTTTAAAATAATTAAAAATAATTTAACTTGTAGAACTAAATTGAATATTAAAATCATATTTGTAACATGTAATAAAAAATATCAGGAGAATTATACTTAGTAAAAAATCTTTTGGTAACTTCTAATGAATTTTCTAATCTAGTATGAGATTGTGAAAGAAAATTATTTTGTTCTTGCAAATATAGAAAATCTTACTTAGAATCTTATCTAAATGAAAACAAACAAAAAGAATTAAATTTTATGATTAATTCAAGGTTCATTACATATACAAAGAACTTAATTCTTTATTAAAACTTTGAATCTAATTTTTATTGCATTAATAATATAATATTTAAAAATTCTACATATATATATATATATATATATATATATATATAATTAGAGTATTAAAAAATAAACTCAAATAAATAAGTATATATATATATATATATATATATATATATTCTTTTAATTGGTGTATTAAAAAACTAGAAGAGTTTTCTTATCATATCTATATTGAGAATAAGGCGCAAGCTACAAGCACACCCCAAATTACTATTTGCATATCTATTATATCTATACACACATTCAAGGCCATTGATTGACTATTCTACACATCTTCCTTTTTTTTTTTGTCATATGATAAAATAATAATAATAATAATAATAATAATATATTAAGATAAAATTCATACTTCAACTTACATAATATTTATCTAAAATTAGATATTAGATGTAAATTTTTACATGTTCAAAATTTATTTAACTTTTATACTTTTTTTTTTGTATGAATATTTTGAAATGACTTACAATGTCCTTTTAAATCCTTTGAATTCTCTCTATTCAATTGTACATCCAGTTGAATTTGTGAAGTAAAATTTTGTAATCTTTCTTTAAGAGTCTCATACTATTTAATCAGCTTTACTTTACTTTTAGTTCCAACATCAATATTTTGCTTTTCAATATGTTTCCAAAACTCATACTCTAATAAAACAATCCATTGCTATCTAGAATACCCCCAAAGTTTTCATTATATCAAGAATACCTTATATGTTTTTATTATATCAAGAATACCTCCCAAGTTTTCACTATATCAAGAATACCTCTCAAGTTTTGATTATATCAAGAATACCTCCCAAGTTTTGATTACATCAAGAATACCTCCTAAGTTTTCATTATATCAAGAATACCTCCCAAGTTTTCATTATATGAAGAATACCTCTCAAGTTTTCACTACATCAAGAATACCTCCCAAGTTAAATTATATGAAGAATACCTCCCTAGTTTTCATTATATCAAGATTACCTTGGAAGTTTTCATTATATCAAGAATACTTCCGAAGTTTTGATTATATCATGAATACCTCCCAAGTTTTGATTATATCAAAAATACCTACCAAGTTTTCATTATATCAAGAATACCTGCCAAGTTTTCATTATATCAAGAATATTTCTCAAGTTTTCATTATATCAAGAATACCTCCTAAGTTCTCATTATATTAAGAATACCTCTCAAGTTTTGATTATATCAAGAATACATCTCAAGTTTTTATTATATCAAGAATATATCTCAATTTTTTATTATATCAAGAATACATCTCAAGTTTTTATTATATCAAGAATACCTCTCATGTTTTCATTATATCAAGAATACCTCCCAAGTTTTCATTATACTAGGAATACCACTCAAGTTTTGATTATATCAAGAATACCTCCCAAGTTTTCACTATATCAAGAATACCTCCCTACTTTTCATTATATCAAGAAAACCTCC